CTCAAGAAGGGCTCCTGACCCCCTGCCTGAGTCTCGATGGCTCCCTGGCTCCGGGCTGCCCCGCCCCTGGCATCCCTGGTGCGGTGGGAGCCCAGCTTCCCTCCGGATTTGTACCCAGACCTTTTGAGGCCAGTGCCAGGGCGGAGGGGAGACCCCCCGAGTCCGATGCACCTGGGATGTTGCTGGGCTTTCATAGCCGATGGCCATCTCTATTCTCGTGCAGCTGTCTGTCTGTCCACTGCCTGTGCCCCAGCTGTGCGTGGACGTGACACCCACCCAGGTGCGTAGTTGGGCACAGCCCCCAGCGCGTGCTCCCGGACCCCCTGCATGCAAGGACTGTCCCTCCAGTTATTGGGAGTGCTGATAGCACACATCCCTCGGCCGTCGGACCCTCAGGGGCTGCCTCAGCTGCAGAGGCCACTTCACCCAAGGTCAGCTGTCCTCCCACATCCGATGACTGCTCCGGGTGCAAATACCGAAGTCCTGGCCATCTTGGCCTCACTTGGGACAACCCCGAAGGCCTGTTCTGGCTCCAGAACTCCCTGTGGGGTCAACTGAAACAGTCCTTGGGCCTGCCTCGCAGCTTGACCTCTCCCTCTGCCCAGTCCTGCCTCTCCCTCAGTTGACTCCCGGGTGCCCATTAATAAACATCCTGCACTTTGTACTTCACCTCAGACTTGGCTTCCCTCGGACCCAGATTCTGGCTGCTCACGGATCCACTCTATCGAGGGACTTTGGGCTACAGGTTATGGAACACCTGACCAAACTGGCCTGAACAACAAAGGGCTCAGGTAGATAAGTGTTCTAGGTGAGGCGAGGCTTTACCCGGAAATCAAGCGAGGACACCTTCCTCTACTTTGTTCTCCAAAGTGTTCTCCTCCCCCTGAGGCTGGCACTCCTGTGGTCACGGCGTGGCTCCCAGCATCTCCTGGCAGGGCGGGGGTTACGATCCGTTGTTCACGTCCTACTGGAAAGAGTGTCTCTCCCAGAATTTTCAGCCAAAGTCTTCCATCTTCACTGTGACTGGACCGGCTTATACCGTGTGCCCACCTTGAAGCAGTCAAGGAGGTGGAGAATGCCTTCGGGTTTAGTCTAGGGCATGCACACCACCCTTGGAGCAGGGGAGGGGTGGTTGGGGTGGAGCACGTGACCTAGGCTAAGGCGGTAGGCACCTCCAGAACCACACGGGTCCCCAAATTGAAATGGAAAATGTTTTTTTTAATATTTTATTATTTTTAAAATTATTATTATTATTTTTTAACATTTATTAACTTTTGAGAGACAGCACAAGCGAGGAGAAGCAGAGAGAGAGGAGACACAGAATCCGAAGCAGGCTCCAGGCT